TGAGCGGTATGACAGCTGCGTGGTCCCATGGTGTTTATACTTGCGTACTATTGTTTGTACAGATGAACGTGGTACCTTCAGGCGTTTGGAAATTGTTCCCAAGGATGAACCAGACTTGTGGAGGTCTACAATTTTTTCTCTGAGGTCTTGGCTGATTTCTTTAGATTTTCCCATGATGTCAAGCAAAGAGGCACTGAGTTTGAAAGTAGGCCTTGAAATACATCGACAGGTACACCTCCAATTGACTCAAATGGTGTTAATTAGCCTATCAGAAGCTTCTAAAGCCATGACATCATTTTCTGAAATTTTCCAAGCTGTTTAAAGGCACAGTCAACTTAGTGTATGTAAACTTCTGACCCACTGGAATTGTGATACAGTGAATTATAAGTGAAATAATATGTCTGTAAACAATTGTTGGAAAAATTACTTGTGTCATGCACAAAGTAGATGTCCTAACCGACTTGCCAAAACGATAGTTTTGTCACGCTCGTCTAAGGAGGAGGACCAAGGCGCAGCGTTGAAGGCAAACATCTTCTTTATTTAATAAATGATCACACGATCAAAACAACAAAACGAAACCGTGACGTCCCTGGTTACATACACCAACCAACACGGAACAAGAAACCACAAACACAAAGTGAAAGACAGACAGTTAAATATGGCTCCCAATCAGAGACAACCAGCTGACACTCGTTGCCTCTGATTGGGAGTCACTCAGGCCAACATAGAAATACAAACATAGAATTACACACCCTGGCTCAACATAACAGTGTCCCCAGAGCCAGGGCGTGACAGTACCCCCCCCCTAAAGGCGCGGACTCTGACCGCGCCAACTAAATACCACAGGGGAGGGACCGGGTGGGCACTCCGCCTTGGCGGCGGATCCGGCTCCGGGCCTGATCCCCACTCCCTCTCCAACCCCCCAAAGTACCCCTGGTCCGGTCTGGCCCCGCTGGCCGGAGCTGGACTGCACACTGATGGAGCGGATTGCTCTAGCTCCGGCGTAACGCATCTGACCGGTGCCGGACCAGGCACCAGTGGAACAGGCACGGGCCGTGCCGGACCGACGACGCACACCACTGGCTTGGTGTGGGGAACAGGCACGGGCCGTGCTGGACTGACGACGCACACCACTGGCTTGGTGTGGGGAGCAGGAGCGGGCCGGACAGGGCTGACGAAACGCACCACTGACTTGGTGCGGGGAGCAGGCCGGGCCGAGCTGGCGACACGCACCGTAGATTTGGTGCGGGGAGCAGGAACGGGCCGAGCCGGGCTGACGAAACGCACCACAGACTTGGTGCGGGGAGCAGGAATGGGCCGGACTGGGCTGGCGACGCGCACCACAGACTTGGTGCGGGGAGCAGGAATGGGCCGGACTGGGCTGGCGACGCGCACCACAGACTTGGTGCGGAGAGCAGGAACGGGCCGGACAGGGCTGACGAAACGCACCACAGACTTGGTGCGGAGAGCAGGAACGGGCCGGACAGGGCTGACGAAGCGCACCCCTGACTTGGTGCGGGGAGCAGGAACGGGCCGAGCCGGGCTGACGAAGCGCACCACTGACTTGGTGCGGGGAGCAGGAACAGACCGGACCGTACTGGGGACACACACCACTGGCCCTACATCGGGATCTGGAACGGGCCGGACCGGACTGGTAACACACCCCAGTACCTCTCGCCGTGCCTCTCCACCTTCCATCTCCTCTTCGACCAGTGGCCCCCGTAACCTGGCGGCCTCCTCTGCCAACCCGCTGGACCGCTCTATCGCGGCCTCCTGCTGCCCCGACGTCGTGAGCCCCCCCCTAAAAATTTTCTGGGGGTCTCTCCTCCCCGTGGGCCAGGCCTCTATCGTTCTCGCCCAACTCTCGCTCTTCTGTCTCCAACTCCCGCTATTCAGCTCCTCAATGGGCTTGACCCAGTCGAAGCTCTTCCTCAACTGTTCCCAAGTCCACCCTCTCTGCTCCTCACTAGGCTTGACCCAGTCGAGGTTGCCACGGAGATCTGCTAGCGATGGCTCCTGGACACGCTGCTTGGTCTGGTTCTGGTGGTTTCTTCTGTCACGCTCGTCTAAGGAGGAGGACCAAGGCGCAGCGTTGAAGGCAAACATCTTCTTTATTTAATAAATGATCACACGATCAAAACAACAAAACGAAACCGTGACGTCCCTGGTTACATACACCAACCAACACGGAACAAGAAACCACAAACACAAAGTGAAAGACAGACAGTTAAATATGGCTCCCAATCAGAGACAACCAGCTGACACTCGTTGCCTCTGATTGGGAGTCACTCAGGCCTACATAGAAATACAAACATAGAATTACACACCCTGGCTCAACATAACAGTGTCCCCAGAGCCAGGGCGTGACAAGTTTGTTAACAAGACATTTGTGGAGTGGTTGAAAAACGAGTTTTAATGACTCCAACCTAAGTGTATGTAAACTTCCGTCTTCAACTTTACATACGGTCACTGTGGGGACGACGTCATCGATGCACTTATTGATAAACCCAGTGTCTGATGTGGTGTACTCCTCAATGCTATCGGAAGAATCCCGGAACATATTCCAGTCTGAGCTAGCAAAACAGTCCTGTAGCTTAGCATCTGCGTCATCTGACCACTTCTTTATTAACCGAGTCACTGGTGCTTCCTGCTTTAGTTTTTGCTTATAAGCAGGAATCAGGAGGATAGAGTGCAATCTTAGTGGCAGCATCGGTTTGTGGTGGTAAATAGACACCTACAAAAAATATAGATGAAAACTCTTGGTAAACAGCTCATCATGAGATACTCTACCTCAGGAGAGCAAAACCTTGAGACTTCCTTAGTATTAGATTTTATGCACCAGCTGTTGTTTACAAATATACACAGACTGCCACCCCTTGTCTTAAAGAGTCAGCCGTTCTATCCTGCCGATGTAGCGTATGTTATCCATGTCGTTATTCAGCCACGACTCGGTGAAACATTAGATATTACAGTTTTTAATGTCCCATTGGTAGGATAACCTTAATCTTAGGTCGTCCAATTTATTTTCAAATGATTGAACATTGGCTAATAGGATTTATGGAAGAGGCAGTTTACTCGCTCGCCGTCTTACGTACTTATAGGCCTGCATCTGTTGCTATAAATCAACCCAACACACACACACACACACACGCACACACGCACACACACACACCCTCTTCTACCTTGGGACCAACTAAACCGTTGTACGGGCCAAGGAAAAAAACATACATCTGTGCATTTTGATAGGGGGATGAAACTGCGCTGTCAGCAGACCGGAGACTTTAAGCCGGGGATGAGACAATTTATGTTGACGCCAGCTGTGGAAATCTACCATGCTTGTGTTCATTAAAATTAAATGATGCATGATGGGACAGTAGAAATACTGGCGACTGTAGCGGGAGGGTTTTGGAAGCTCAAAAATAGATTGCAGAAGTAGTCTGAGTGTTGAGAAGCTAAAATTACTCTGTTCAGAGTGGTCAGTCGCCCCACTCTGTGCCCTTTCCTCCACTGCAGATGGTTTAGAGAGATAAGATCAATTTGTACTGCAGGAAAGAGTCGTGCTGGGCTGTTCTAATGTTCAGGCAGGGAGCTAAAGTGGGCGCTTTCCATTCAAATGTTATCTCAATGGAAATGAACATGCCTATCTTTGTGCGGCACGTATTCCGTAAATGAGCTGACCCATTGAGGTCAAAAGTTAAACCCATAATCAATTAAAGGTGAATTGTATAAAACCCTAAAGGTCCCTCAACGCATACAAATATATGTTTATTTTTCTTCTTCAAAGTAAAGTAAGGCACCGTTTTATAAATATTCACTTGGGGAATGAGATTGCATAACGCTCGAATCGAGCAGTAGATGAGCTCCCACATTCCCAAACCTTCAAGCTAATAACAAACTTCAAACTAGGATAATATATTACCTCTTCACCAATAACGGCTCTGGAATTAAAAATAATACTTTCATCAAAATCATTGAGGCTGCCAGAGCGTAATGCCGTGCGGGGGTATGAAATAGCTTTCAGCTTTCTGTTTAGTTATTTTAATATGCATGTCGAATTATGTTTTTATTACCGTGCACTGCAGAGATGACTGAATACAGCTCTGTGTGTGTGTTCCTGTGTGAGTGTGTTTGCGTGTGTGTACGTGTGTGTGTGTGTGTGTGTGAAAGTCAGTTTGTTTACTGTAATAATGTGTCTCTGCTCCGAACAGCCTCTGAGCAGTCACAACCGTTTACTCAAATGACGGGGGCCATTAAAGAATAAAAACATGCCACAATAACATAACAAAAGAAGTGATGATATTTCTACCCACAAATGTTATTTCTACACATAAAGCTGAAGTTCTGAGTTCATGTTAATTCATGCAGATGGTATGCAAATTAGTTGCTAATGAAGTTGGGTTAGAGCCCCATTTCTAGAGAGTGTCAGTGTTTTTTTTACTTTTTTGCTACAGTAGCAGGGCTGTGGAGGAGTCTGTCACTGAATGTCTTTCCGTTTCTTGATCAGGAGGATCCGGCAGTGGGCTGTGGAGAGGGGCGGGGCGGGGCGGGGGGGGAGAATATGCACGCTCCACTCTCATTCCATTCAGAGTTGATTACATCCTTGGAAAAGGTGAGGCACAAAAATAGCAGGGGGCGAGTTGAATCCTCAGACAGACTCTCAGGGAGAGAGAGAGTGTGAAGCAGAGGGGTGAATGGAAGGACTACTACCACTGTCATATGGTATTGGATACTACATTATAAACAGAGAGAGATCTACAGTTTGTTTATTGAAAAAGTCAACTTTGACACCTGGCAATGTCAAAATATAATGACTAAAATTAATTTTAGTCGGCAAGATTCTGAATTTTCTCACCTAAAATGTCATATATTCAAAGACACAACCTCTTCCATATTCAAAAACTGAGAATTTCCACCAAGCACTCTGCAAAGCAGAGGGCCATAACCTCAGTGGTATGACAGCCGGTGATAGACTGTGCACTGCTGCTCTGGCAGTCAGTCAGTCAGTCAGGCAGAGTCTTGGCAGGGAGAAGAGCAGGGAGGGGGCCTGCAAGCTGCATGGTTAACTTCTCCAGGCTGCTCGTATGTGAGCTCTGTGAGTGAACTCTGGCCAGGAGTGCCTCTCCATCATCCCTTTTTCTCCTCTCCTTTGTGGAGGCACCTCTGGCTCCCCTGGATGAAAAGCTTGGAACCCGGCTGGCTGCAGCCCTATCTCCCCCCACAGAAAAGACCAGGTCAGCTAGCCTAGAGCTAGATGCTAACGCTAGCAAGGATTCGTGTTCCAACGAGCTATCGCTGGATGTTAATGCTAGCAACATACTCTCACTGTTGTTGCATATGGAGCCAACCAACAGGCCATGCAACGCTGCATTTACAGCAGCATTTATATTACCCACTGACAATGGCATCCACATCTCACCTTGCCAAAGCCAGCTGCTGGTGGATAATACCTTAATTTGCAGTATTAGTCCTTCCTGATCTGGGTGTCAATGGGCAAACACACAGCAAATTGAGCAAAAACAATATGCCTCTAAACAATGGTGACATGCTATCAGAAAAGCCAAGCTGGGCATAGGTCTGTCCCAGAAACAATTCTTAGCCGCTACCCTCTAAGCACTTGTAGGGATTGGAAAGGATGGGTTTGATTTGATGGGTATAAGCAATATGGTGAACGTGCTACCAAGCCTATCAGAGAGCAAGGTGGAACTACTACCATACTGCTGATACCTTTCCAATCCCTTCAGATCTACATTAAGGGCTTAGGGGCTTGGGTGATTTTTCTGTACCGGCCGATAGTGTCAGACAGTGTTGTCATCAACGGGTGTCTTACCTGTGGTGTCCTGTGTATTTGGCTCCTTTGATGTGGCCCACGCCCCTGCAGCCCGGAGTGGGGCACACTCCCTGGGTCACGGAGCTCTTAAGGTCAGAAGGTCCTGCTTGTGCTGGATGGGGATGACAACCAAACAACCAATCACAAGGCTTGCTTGAGGCTCGCAGGAGAGAGTTTGAGGAAAGCGCTTGCTTTTCATTGATTGATTTAGTCAACAGGCAAGTAGGTAAAATTGGGTCAGCAACTGCATTCAGTGGTATATTAACTACATACATAGGCTACAACATGGGTTTAAGTTATCCAACAGTGCAAACCCATGCGTGATGAGTATCTATCTGAAATTAAGTTACAATGAATGAGACCTTACAGAGGATTAGCTGGGGTAGACCAACACGTATTTTGTGTGTCAGGGTAGACAAATAGCCCTTATGGCTCTGCTTATGTATTAGATAAAGACATCTAGAGCAACATAAAACATTGCTCTTGCCATAATATATCACTCACCAAGCTTCTAAGACAAACCAAATAAGATATATGGAATAAAGTCAGTTTTATGTCCTGTATTGCCGGTGCCAAGACAAAACACACTCTCTCTCTCTCTTTCACTCGCACACACACACACACACACACACACACACACACACACACACACACACACACACACACACACACACACACACACACACACACACACACACACACACACACACACACACACACACACACACACACACACACACACACACACACACACACACACACACACACACACACACACACACACACACACCTCATTCGTTGTCCCAAATGTGTTTACCAAAAGGGGAAATTGAAGAGATTTATTCCTACAGTCTCTGAAGGAGACAAGTCCTCCACTTGGAATAAGATTAGACTTATGTTTTTTATTTCTAACTTCATTTCTGTTACAGCCATTTATATTGTATCCCTAAATCACTGTGGAATTGTCAACGGTAATACATCAAGAAAAACAATCACAGCCCAACATCGAAAAAGAAGAAAAACAGACGGCATTCTTCGAAGGTCAAGAGATTAGTCTGTGCAGACAAAAATAATTTTCTTGATTTCTCACGCTGTGCCAAACTGTCAATCACAATGACTAATTTGCCATGAATTAAAGTATATGTCTAGTGTTTCAGATTTTGTATGAAATATTACCTAAAATGAATTACAATATGAATTAAATAGATGTAATTCCAAGAATTATAATTTAGGATGTTATAAAAAGCATATTTTCCCTATGCCCCTACTTGGCCTGTTAGGAAACAACAGAGTGGTTTGGGCGTATACTGGTAATAAATGTAACTGATTTGACAGCTCAGTCAATGAGACACGTATACACGTGGATATTCACATTAGCTCCCACATGGGGGCACTGGGGCTGACTGCCCGAGCTTGTCTGCACCAATCAAATAATATGGATGGATTCAGGATATGGAAATGCACAATGGAACGACTAGGGCACTTCACTATATCAGCAATAAATGCAGGCTGATTATTTCAAAAGCGTGAGTCATTTCTGTTCTTTGCTTTGTCACTGTATTCCTGATATTTTTTTAATTAGCTACGTAACTAGCTAGTCATGAAGCTAGCTAGCTACTACTGCTATCTATATCAGTCAACAACAGCTAACACAACAGCTAAGTTCTCTTGACATAAAACTTTTAGCTACAAACCACAGGATTTAAAATAGAATGGAATGGCAAGATGGTTGTTGTGTGGAGGATCTGCTTTGACTTGCTTTCTTGTTGGTTAGCCAGCTAGCTAACGATTGCCGCCATTAGCATGCTAGCTAACGATAGCTAATGTTAGCATGCTAGCTAACATTAGCATGCTAACCTTAGATAACTGCTTCTAAAAAGCCAGCAGGCCAACAAATTTCAAGTGTTTTTTTTAAACGGTTTGAGATAAAAGTTTGAGGTGTGGTGTTTTAAGTGTTTTTTCTCCAATTTATGCTTTGGCCAGAAATACGATTATAAGAACATTATTTGGGTATAAGTTGACAGAATATGAACTTTTTAAAGTGAGATTTTCACTGGACAGTTACTTTAAAAGTTGTTTTTTGGGCAGGGATACTGTGCTATTGGCTATGTAGGTGTGGTTAGAATTTAGAGCGCAGTACAAAGCCCTGTGCCATAGAAAATACTTTGCACCCATTCATCAGATAGCTGTGCTCTAATGTCAGTGAGATTCACCTCTGAAAGGGACAAAATCAATAGTGGGGATATAATGGATGGAGAGGTCCTTGAGAGGCATGGAAGAGTGCATTGATTTGTGTGTACGTGTGAGCGTTGAGTTGGAACGGTTAGTGAAGAGCACACACACACACACACACACAGGGGTGTTGAACTCACAGAGGGGGGGTTCCAGGGGGTGACCTGTCCGGGCACACCAGCCCACAGGGTGAAGGTCCGGCAGGTCAGAGTCCACCCAGAAGTCAAACTTCTCATGCCAGCCGTCAAAACGGATCTGATTGATACACACAGAGAGAGAGAGCGAGAGAGAGAGAGAGAGAGAATACAACAGAACGAGTGAGAGAGAGAAAAAGAGAGAGAGAAACAGCCACATTAGTAATAATAATTTGTTACATTTGTCAAGGGCTTTTCACTATACAGAATAATCTCAAAGTACTGTACAGAAAATTAAAACCAAATAGAAAAACATATTATAACGGACAACTAAACAGGCCAACTGACAGAAAGAACACAGCTGACGCTACAAGAGACAAGGACACCAAGGTGCGCAGCTATCAACAGAAAGCCTTCCTAAAGACAGTGTGCTGTAATCATGTGTAAAATGCACTTTAGATCATATAAAGAGACAGTAAACAAACGTTTTGAGACACCAGGTTTAACGATAATAGTTCCAAATCCACAGTTGTTTCTGCTCGAAATGTACCTGCTCCTAGTAGAGCACTTTTTGAAACTTCAATAAATCATGACATTAGATATTAATCAAGACTCCACCCAAAGAATACCTGAAAAGGAGAGAGAATATGAACGGTGTGTAAGATCTGATTACACATCCTTATTTAAAAAGGTGCATGAATTATTCATCTTCCTACTTAAAGCAAATAAATGTATCTTTCTCTTCTGACGAGGTCCCTCATCGTTGTTCCTTCAGTGCAATATTAAACTTTCCCCCAAAATCCAATCTTGATAAGCTAGCAGCCCAATACCTACACCGCTGCCGTCTCAGCCGCTGTATCTCAAGACTTGCTGTCTCATGTTTTTAGATTGATTTTTGTTTCCCACGCTATTTAAATCAATTATGGCCTTGTCTACTGACAAGCAGCAACCCATAGTGTGTTGCTATAGTGTTCCTCCAGGGAGGCCAGTGGGATCGATCCCTGTGTGTGTGTGTGTGTGTGTGTCTAGAGAAGCTACACAATCACATCGTCGTATTTCTAATGTGGCACTAACCACTAACGGATGATGAGAGGGCTTTCTCTTAACAGCATACCTCCCATTGGTAAATAATAGTGCGTGCTGACAAGGACTTAGACGGAGCTGATGAAGACGGATTACTGTTTTTAACTGAATCTGCTATATACAGTGCCTTCAGAAAGTATTCACACCCCTTGACTTTTTCAAATTTTCTTGTGTTACAGACTGAATTTAAAATTGATTAAATTGAGATTTTTGGTCACAATATCCAGTAATGTCAAAGTGGAATTATGTTTTTCGAATTTTTAACAAATTAATTTAAAATGAAATCTGAAATGTTTTGAGTCGATAAGTATTCAGCTCCTTTGTTATGGCATGCCTAAATAAGTTCAGGAGTAAACATTTGCTTAACAAGTCACATAATAAGTTGCATGGACTCACTCTGTGTGCGATAATAGTGTTTAACATGATTGTTGAATGACTACCTCATCTCTGTATCCCACATATACAATTATCTGTAAGGACAGTGAATTTCAAACAAAGATTCAACCACAAAGACCAGGGAGGTTTTCCACTGCCTCGCAAAGGGCACCTATTGGTAGATGGGTAAACATTTAAAAAGCAGACATTGAATATCCCTTTGAGCATGGTGAAGTTATTAATTACACTTTGGATGATGTATCAATACACCCAGTCACTACAAAGATACAGGCGTCCTTCCTAACTCAGTTGACGGAGAGGAAGGAAACCGTTCATGGATTTCATCATGAGGCCAACATTTACAGAGTTTAATGGCTGTGACAGGAGAAAACTGAGGATGGACAAACAACATTGTAGTTACTCCACTATACTAACCTAATTGACAGAGTGAAAATAAGGAAGCCTGTACAGAATAAAAATATTCCAAAACATGCATCCTGTTTGCAACAAGGCACTAAAGTAATACTGCAAGAAATGTGGCAAAGCAATTAACTTTCTGTCCTGAATACAAAGTGTTATGTTAGGGGCAAATCCAATACAACACATTACTGAGTATGACTTTCCATATTTTCAAGCATAGTGTTGGCTGCATCATGTTATGGTTATGCTTGTAATCGTTAAGGACTGGGAGTTTTTCAGGATAAAAAAGAAACAGAATGGAGCTAAACACAGGCAAATACCCAGAGGAAAACCTGGATCAGTCTGCTTTACACCAGACACTGGGAGATGAATTCACCTTTCAGCAGGACAATAACCTAAAACACAAGGCCAAATCTACACTGCTTACCAAGAAGACAGTGAATGTTCCTGAGTGGCCTAGTTACAGTTGACTTAAATCTCCTTGAAAATCTATGGCAAGACCTGAAAATGGTTCTCTAGCAATGATCAACAACCAAATTTGACAGCACTTGAATAATTTAAAAAAAGAATAATGGCCAAATGTTGCACAATCCAGGGGTGGAAAGCTATTAGAGACTTACCCAGAAAGACACAGCTGTAATCGCTGCAAAAGGGATTGTGTATTGACTTAGGGGGTTGAATACTTATCTAATCAAGATATATTAGTGTTGTTTTTCATTAATTATTTACAAATGTTAGAGTATTTTGTGTAGATCGTTGACAAAAATTACAATTAAATACATTTGAATCCCACTTTGTAACAACAAAATGTGGAAAAAGTCAAGTGGAGTGAATACTTTCTGAAGGCACTGTATAACCTGCTTTGACCCATGCTAAAGCTATGGTGGGTTAATGGCGCCTGTCTGATCACGTAATCATGAATTAATCAGTGAGACGCATCAGTGAATTCCTCCTCTACTGACTGAGCAGTGTGACGTGATAGGACAAAAATAGTGACATACAAGGCACTCTGCTCTGTCAATTATGACCTGTATGCACATACACATATACACATCATGCATGCGCAAACACATAGGCATACAGTACACACACGTGTGCACACGCACGCACATACACACACACACACACACACACACACACACACAATACAACCTATCAAGTCTCAGTACAAGGCTTGTTAAGCTTGTTATTGGTTGAACAAGAGCAGCACCACCAAGTGGCTCCTGCAGACTTGCCAGCCTGCTCATTTCACAGAGACGCTGCTGTCCCAAACACCTCAACTCCCATCTGCCATGTCACTCCAGCAGGCCTCCTCACCCTGACTACCACCCCCCCCTCACTTCTTTCCACATGCCCAACCGCCTCCCATCCCCTGCCTCACTCTTTCCTTTTTTCACTCTCTCAATCTCTTCCCCTCGCTCTCATTTCATCTTTCACTGCTTTCCCCCTTTCACTCACTTTCTCTCCCCTCATTCTCTACCCCATTGTTTTCTCTCTAACCCCACCCCTTCACCTCCCTCACTCCCCTCACCTTGACCCTGTAGTCCTCAGTGTCTGAGACGGTGGCCACGCGGACCAGCATGGGGTTCCTCCGGTCCACCGCCTCCAGCTTCATGTTCACCTGGAAACTGTGAGGAGCTCTCTGTGACGGGGGAGAGAGAGGAGGAAGAGAGGGGGCGGAGAGAGAGAGGGAGAGAGAGAGGGAGAGATAAAGGGCGTTAGAGATGGCAGTCAAGCCTGTCGAGACTCCCAAAAAACCCTATGCCCAAAGAGAGAGAGAGAAAGAAGACAGGAGAAGACATGAGAGAGAGAGGCAGAGGAAGGGAGGAGGCGGAAGACAGGACACTGTACACATCTCTGAGAGAGGAGAGCAGAGGAGAGGACAGGCCCTGTCAGCCAGAAACTCAGCCAGAGAAGAGGATTTGAGGGTGTGAAATTGTGCTGTGCAGATGTCATGCAGGGGAAAGGAGGCTGACAGTGGAGTTCTTTAGGGGAAAGAAGAGTTTTGAACCAGAAGTTTCTGAATGAGAAAGACAGGTCTGGGAAAGTGACAAACTGATGTCAAACTGAGAAAAACATGACTTGTGTCATTATTGTGAAAAGGAACCGAACCACAACAGTTATTAAACTGCCTTCAATTTCAATTGTTCGTAATAAAAGGAATCATTATGAAACACGAAAGCAGCCGTTAGATTGCAGCAGAGGCTGGGAATAACAATGGTGCTGTACAACACACATACAGCTGGCTGATAGAAGGCTAGCCTGCTGTTCCGTGCCTACTGCTTACGGCTTACCATACAGAAAGCCTGGCTTGGAACCGCCGTGGAACCATTGTCTTGTAAGTACTCCTCCCACAGGAAATGTTCTGGATTCGGGTGTCCTTCAACACAATCCAAAACACAATCTGATTAATCACACACTTGTAAGCTCGCGCACACACATGCACACACAAACACATGCAACAACTTCAAACTGTGACTATCAACGGCTGTGACAATCTCATCAAAAGGCAAATGAGCTTGAAAACTTGAACGCGACACACACACAGATGGGTGCAACATATGCAGGGGACCGAATGTACACATATCGCCTGTTTGCGGAGGGAAATGATGGTTAGCTATCGGAGATTGAGTTGTGGAGGCTCCAAATAGTAAGTGATTGGCTCTACTGGCCACTGCCTCAGTAGTTCTTGTTGAACTAATATAGAGGAGAGAAAAATGACTGTACTCCAGGCATTGCGCATTTGAGCCAATCGCAAATGGTTCAATAATAAACTTGAATAACTACTTGTGTCTTTATGATGAAACTCAAATCTGAAACTAGATTCCATTCCAGTAAAACTTCAAGATAAAATGCATGAGTGCATCTCAATATGCTAAAGTGGCTCCTGCTCACAATATGGCAGATGCCTCAGCTACAAGGAATTTATAAAACATTAAATGTATGTAAGACAAAATCTGTTCTGTGCGTAGAGACAGCTGGAAGTCTGGTAGTAAATCTGTTGGTAAAGTGCCTATAGATGGTTCTATTTCAAAGTAATGAGAACTTTCACCTTCCCAGATTCTCAGGGAAACATACACTGAGTGTACAAAACATTAAGAACACGCTCTTTCCATGACAGACCGACCAGGTGAATCCAGGTGAAAGCTATGATCCCTTATTGATGTCACTTGTTAAATCCACTTCAATCAGTGTAGCTGAAGGGGAGGAGACAGGTTAAAGAAGGATTTTTAAGCCTAGAGACGATTGAGACATGGATTATGTATGTGTGCCATTCAGAGGGTGAATGGGCAAGACAAAATATTTAAGTGCCTTTGAACGGGGCATGGTAGTACATGCCAGGCACACCGTTCTGTGTCAAGAATGCAACACTGCTGGGTTTTTCACGCTCAACAGTTTCCTGTGTGTATCAAGAATGGTCCACCACCCAAAGGACATCCAGCCAAGTATTTAGTCAGCCACCAATTGTGCAAGTTCTCCCACTTAAAAAGATGAGAGAGGCCTGTAATTTTCATCATAGGTACACGTCAACTATGACAGACAAAATGAGAATTTTTTTCTCCAGAAAATCACATTGTAGGATTTTTAATGAATTTATTTGCAAATTATGGTGGAAAATAAGTATTTGGTCAATAACAAAAGTTTCTCAATACTTTGTTATATACCCTTTGTTGGCAATGACACAGGTCAAACGTTTTCTGTAAGTCTTCACAAGGTTTTCACACACTGTTGCTGGTATTTTGGCCCATTCCTCCATGCAGATCTCCTCTAGAGCAGTGATGTTTTGGGGCTGTCGCTGGGCAACACAGACTTTCAACTCCCTCCAAAGATTTTCTATGGGGTTGAGATCTGGAGACTGGCTAGGCCACTCCAGGACCTTGAAATGCTTCTTACGAAGCCACTCCTTCGTTGCCCGGGCGGTGTGTTTGGGATCATTGTCATGCTGAAAGACCCAGCCACGTTTCATCTTCAATGCCCTTGCTGATGGAAGGAGGTTTTCACTCAAAATCTCACGATACATGGCCCCATTCATTCTTTCCTTTACACGGATCAGTCGTCCTGGTCCCTTTGCAGAAAAACAGCCCCAAAGCATGATGTTTCCACCCCCATGCTTCACAGTAGGTATGGTGTTCTTTGGATGCAACTCAGCATTCTTTGTCCTCCAAACACGACGAGTTGAGTTTTTACCAAAAAGTTCTATTTTGGTTTCATCTGACCATATGACATTCTCCCAATCCTCTTCTGGATCATCCAAATGCACTCTAGCAAACTTCAGACGGGCCTGGACATGTACTGGCTTAAGCAGGGGGACACGTCTGGCACTGCAGGATTTGAGTCCCTGGCGGCGTAGTGTGTTACTGATGGTAGGCTTTGTTACTTTGGTCCCAGCTCTCTGCAGGTCATTCACTAGGTCCCCCCGTGTGGTTCTGGGATTTTTGCTCACCGTTCTTGTGATCATTTTGACCCCACGGGGTGAGATCTTGCGTGGAGCCCGAGATCGAGGGAGATTATCAGTGGTCTTGTATGTCTTCCATTTCCTAATAATTGCTCCCACAGTTGATTTCTTCAAACCAAGCTGCTTACCTATTGCAGATTCAGTCTTCCCAGCCTGGTGCAGGTCTACAATGTTGTTTCTGGTGTCCTTTGACAGATATAGTATGTATAAGCTGGAAGTAGAGGCCTAAGCATTGTTGTTCACTAGTTTACTCCAATTAGGGAAGGGGTGGTGGGGTTGGAAAGTAATAAAGGGAAATATGTTTAAAAAAAGGATATGTACAGTGGGGAGAACAATTATTTGATACACTGCCGATTTTGCAGGTTTTCCTACTTACAAAGCATGTAGAGGTCTGTAATTTTTATTTAGACGGAATCTAAAACAAAAATCCAGAAAATCACATTGTATGATTTTTAAGTAATTCATTTGCATTTTATTGCATGACATAAGTATTTGATACATCAGAAAAGCAGAACTTAATATTTGGTACAGAAACCTTTGTTTGCAATTACAGAGATCATACGTTTCCTGTAGGTCTTGACCAGGTTTGCACACACTGCAGCAGGGATTTTGGCCCACTCCTCCATACAGACCTTCTCAAGATCCTTCAGGTTTCGGGGCTGTCGCTGGGCAATACGGACATTCAGCTCCCTCCAAAGATTTTCTATTGGGTTCAGGTCTGGAGACTGGCTGGTCCACTCCAGGACCTTGAGATGCTTCTTACGGAGCCACTCCTTAGTTGCCCTGGCTGTGTGTTTCGGGTCGTTGTCATGCTGGAAGACCCAGCCACGACCCATCTTCAATGCTCTTACTGAGGGAAGGAGGTTGTTGGCCAAGATCTCGCGATACATGGCCCCATCCATCCTCCCCTCAATACGGTGCAGTCGTCCTGTCCCCTTTGCAGAAAAGCATCCCCAAAGAATGATGTTTCCACCTCCATGCTTCACAGTTGGGATGGTGTTCTTGGGGTTGTACTCATCCTTCTTCTTCCTCCAAACACGGCGAGTGTTTAGACCAAAAAGCTCTATTTTTGTCTCATCAGACCACATTACCTTCTCCCATTCCTCCTCTGGATCATCCAGATGGTCATTGGCAAACTTCAGACGGGCCTGGACATGCGCTGGCTTGAGCAGGGGGACCTTGCGTGCGCTGCAGGATTTTAATCCATGACGGAGTAGTGTGTTACTAATGGTTTTCTTTGAGACTGTGGTCCCAGCTCTCTTCAGGTCATTGACCAGGTCCTGCCGTGTAGTTCTGGGCTGATCCCTCACCTTCCTCATGATCATTGATGCCCCACAAGGTGAGATCTTGCATGGAGCCCCAGACCGAGGGTGTCGGTCATCTTGACCTTCTTCCATTTTCTAATAATTGCGCCAACAGTTGTTGCCTTCTCACCAAGCTGCTTGCCTATTGTCCTGTAGCCCATCCCAGCCTCGTGCAGGTCTACAATTTTATCCCTGATGTCCTTACACAGCTCTCTGGTCTTGGCCATTGTGGAGAGGTTGGAGTCTGTTTGATTGAGTGTGTGGACAGGTGATCAAATACTTATGTCATGCAATAAAATGCAAATTAATTACTTAAAAATCATACAATGTGATTTTCTGGATTTTTGTTTTAGATTCCGTCTCTCACAGTTGAAGTGTACCTATGATAAAAATTACAGACCTCTACATGCTTTGTAAGTAGGAAAACCTGCAAAATCGGCAGTGTATCAAATACTTGTTCTCCCCACTGTACATATCCTTTTTTTAAACATATTTCCCTTTATTACTTTCCAACCCCACCAACCCTTCCCTAATTGGAGTAAACTAGTGAACAACAATGCTTAGGCCTCTACTTCCAGCTTATACATACTATATACATTTTATGGACACAGTCAATTTTACAATAATTTTATTTTGTTTGTTTTTACTCCTGAACTTCCTCTACCCTCAACCTCTCCGATCATTTTCATGATGTCCATCCGGTTTGCTTCTATATGCCATATCTTTCTAACTGTGCGCTTTCACAAAAGCTCTCAACCTATAACCTATATACTTATTATGGACACAGTATGCTTATATTATTAGTTATCTTGTTGTTATTAGTTGTTATTAGTTATTGTTAGTTGTTATTAGTCCAATCCTTCAACTCCATTCAACACCACCCATCTATCTCTTAACACCATCCATATTGGATTTCTATTTGCCATATATTTTTCAACTGTACTGTGATGTTTTACAAAAGTTCTGAACCTTTCTATTCTCATTGTTTCTACAGATTGTAAATTGAAAATAAACATTTTTGCTAAAAGTATTATTATATTATTGATCGATTGACTATGACTTTTCAGATCACCCAGTAATGCTATCTGCAGGGTTAGCTCCAGGTAAATATTGCAATCCTTTAGCCATTCCTGGAACTGTGTCCAAAAACAAGCTACAAATGGACAGTACCAAAACAAATGATCTAATGATTCTGTCTCTTCGCAGCAAATTCTGCAGAGCTGGGAAGATTGTATCCCCATATAAATAACATTATATTGGTAGCAAGAATTGTATATAATAATTTCAATTGAAAAATTCTAAGTTTTGAATCCGGCGTCGTTTGGCGTATCAGTTCATAAACACTATGCCACGGGATCGGTACGTCAAAAATCTTTTGCAATCTATATGGGACGGCTGTCAATCCTTTGGTCCTTAAATTAAACTGTTATACTTTTTTATTTATCACAGTTTTCTTTAACCAATTATTGTTCTTTTTGCGGTAATGCTGCAATTATTTGGTTGTCATTTTGGGTAGAGCAGACATTTCCATATGTTTTTGTTAGCTGCATGTGCGACATAACTCCACCAGTCCTACCGATGATATCATTTACGAAGATTATACCTTTTTTAAACATTTTGTCCAAAATAAATGTTTTTTTATAAATTAGTATATTTGAGTTTAACCACAATATTTGTTGCATTATTTGTTCTGTTGTTTCTGGAGGATTAAATTGAAATTGCAACCAACTTTCTATGGCTTGTTTTAGAATAGTGATATTTGGGAGACGATTTCCTTTTCAAATAACTGAAAGTGAGAGGTTGTAATCTGAATAAAGGGAAAAAGGCCATTCTTGAACATTGGGTGAGACAATCTTATTAATTTGCTAAAGAACCAGTTCGGATTTAAGTATAACTTTTGTATGACTGAAGCTTTTAGTGATAGGTCTAATGCTTTGATATTTCATAATTTCTGTCCTCCGAATTCATATTAATTATATAAATAGGCCCGTTTAATTTTGTCTGGCTTGCCGTTACAAATAAAATTGAATATTTTTTTCTCATATAATTTAAAAAACTGTTCGCTATGCGTAGGCAAGACCATAAGCAAATAGGTAAACTGGGATAATACTAAAGAGTTAATCAGGGTGATTTTTCCACAAATTGACAGGTATTTACCTTTCCATGGTAGCAAGATCTTATCTATTTTTGCTAACTTTCTATCAACATTTATTGGAGTGAGATCATTTATTTCATTTGGGATATGTATTCCGAGTATATCCACATCACCATCAGACCATTTTATTGGTAAACTACATGGTAATGTAATTTTTTTATTTTTTTGTGATCCAATACGTAATATAGTACATTTATCATATAATTTGGTTGTAATCCAGAGAGGTTAGAAAATGTATCTAGATCCTCTATGAGGCTGTGGAGGGATTCTAGTTGTGGATTTAAAAGAAAACATGAATCATCAGCGTACAATGACACCTTTGTTTTTAAGCCCTGGATTTCTAATCCCTTGATATTATTGTTGGATCTGATTTTAATAGCTAACATCTCGATGGCCATAATAAATAGATATGCCGATAGTGGACAACCTTGTTTCACTCCTCTTGACAGTTTAAAACCTTCGGAGAAATAGCCATTATTTACTATTTTACACCTAGGGTTACTATACATGATTTTAACGCAATTTATAAAAGAGATTCTCCAAAATTGAAATGCTCCAGGCATTTATATATAAACCCCAGTCGTACTTTATCAAATGCGTTTCCCAGATTTTTCATAGTGTTCTATTGTTTCCCGTACTTGCCTTATATTATCTCCAATGTATCTTCCATGTAAGAAACCTGTCTGATTAGATTTTTGTTATGCATTGAAGGGCATGCATCACTAAAGAACAGCTGTGATTAAGTTTCTCATTCAAGATGATGCATGTGTCATACATATAAATTAATGTCCTACTGATGTCCTATCGCCATACAATATGAGTTATGATTCTTTCAAGGTCTTTAAAAAGTGTGTGGTGGAAGGGGACAATTTACCAGCAAATTAGAGCGGAAATTAAATGAATAACTCTTGAATTGACATGGAAGATTAAGGGGGATTTATGATAAAAGGTTCACGTCTTTCTACTAATATGGGGACTAAAGTGGGGAATAGCCAAATATGGCTGAAGTGGGGAAGAGCCAAGGTCATTTTAGCAGACACTATTCAAACAGCATCCTAAATAACCTTGCACACAACAGATATTTTGTGTCCAGTATACTGTGTGTGCTGGGCTAGCTACCCACCCTGAGGTGCAGTGAGAGGTCGTCCATGGTCCTGGCACCAGCCCACTGGGTGGATGTGAGGGCTGCTGGCGTCACACCTAAAACACACACACACACACTACACTTTACCATAGCATACTGTACATTATCTTCCGACATACACACTTCCTCATCTATACACACACACGTACAATAGGAATTTGATTTCAATCCTCCTGGGGTAAGACATTACAATAACCTCTAAATTCAATTTACATGTACAATACCCGGTTTGTGACCAGGAGAATATTGCAATTTCACTTACTGTACAGGCTGGCTAGATTAACATGTACCTACAAACACATCCAATCAGACAATACAATAGGAATTCCATTAATCTTCTGTGTGCTTTGAAATGACACAGCAGCTGTGTGATTGTGCAGAATAGCCAATCATGGTGCTTGCCATGTCCCTTGGGCCATGGTATTTGTCCAACAATTCCACACATGCTCCCCGGTGAGCCAGTGGAGTGGCTGAGAGAATGAAATTGTGTGCAAGGTGTGTGTGCGTGCGTGTGTGTGTGTGTGTGTGTGTGTGTGTGTGTGTGTGTGCATGCATGCGTGCAAGTTTGTGAACGTGTGAGCATGCAAGTGTGTTTGAGCCTGTGTGTAAGAGAAACTGTGAGTGTGGGTGTACATGTTGAGTGTGTGCATGAGTGTGTGAATGTAATGAACTGTGGGAACCATGATTTCTGTATGTCTTTGTAGGCAGTTAGGAGGCTAGGAGCTTCTCCTACTGGAAAGTATCAGTATGACACATAGAAACAGGGAAAAGACATAGGAAAAAGGAATATGCATCAAGCTTTTCACTGGATGAATTGGGCCATGCGTCACATGCTATGTAATCAATCAAACTCCTCTTAGCAATTAGCAGGTAAACCGTAACTGATTCACTGACTACAGAACTTACATTGAAGATGATGCATGTACACACAAACAAAGATCATGCACACACACGTGCACATACACTACCAGTCAAAAGTTTGGACACACCTACTCATTCAAGGGTTTTTCTTTATTTTTACTATTTTTTACATTGTAGAATAATAGTGAAGACATCAAAACTATGAAATAACACATATGGAATCATGTAGTAACCAAAAGAGTTAAACAAATCAAAATATATTTTATATTTGAGATTCTTCAAATAGCCACCCTTTGCCTTGATGACAGCTTTGCACACTCTTGGCATTCTCTCAACCAACTTCATGAGGTAGTCACCTGGAATGTATTTCAATTAACAGGTGTGCCTTCTTAAAAAGTTAATTTGTGGAATTTCTTTCCTTCTTAATGCGTTTGAGCCAATCAGTTGTGTTGTGACAAGGTAGGGGGTATACAGAAGATAGCCCTATTTGGTAAAAGACCAAGTCCATATTATGGCAAGAACAGCTCAAATAAGCAAAGAGAAACAACAGTCCATCATTATGAAGGTCAGTCAATACGGACAATTTCAAGAACTTTGAAAGTTTCTCATAACATAGTCTGAGAAGTTAAACTGAAATGATGACCAATTTCACACACGCACACACACACACACACACACACTTTTCCATTTTCTCATTAACTTCTAAATCACAAAAAGTAGTTCCCACAGTAAAGCATGGAAGAGGAGGTGTTATGGTGTGGGGGTGCTTTGCTGGTGACACTGTCTGTGATTTATTTAGAATTCAAGGCACACTTAACCAGCATGGCTACCACAGCCTTCTGCAGCGATACGCCATCTCATCTGGTTTGGGCTTAGTGGGACTATCATTGTTTTTCAACAGGACAATGACTCAACACACCTCCAGGCTGTGTAAGGGCTATTTTATCAAGAAGGAGAGTGATGGAGTGCTGCATCAGATGACCTGGCCTCCACAATCCCCCGACCTCAACCCAATTGAGATGGTTTGAGATGAGTCGGACCGCAGAGTGAAGGAAAAGCAGCCAACAAGTGCTCAGCATATGTGGGAACTCCAAGATTGTTGGAAAAACACTTTTTTGGTTACTATATGATTCCATATGTGTTATTTTATAGTTTTGATGTCTTCACTATTATTCAACAATGTAGAAAATGAAAATGAAAACCCTTGAATGAGTAGGTGTGTCCAAACTTTTGACTGGTACTGTATGTGCGCACCCACACACTGTCTCTTCTGTCACTCTGTAAGGTAACAAAGCTAATTACCGTAATTTTCGGACTATAAACCGCGCCTTTTTTCAAATTTTTCGACCCTGCGGCTTATATAACGGTGCGGCTAATCTATGGATTTTTACAGCTAACGGCCACTAGAAGACCTCCTAAATCTATGGATTTTACAGGTTACAGTCCACCAACTTTAACTCTATGGGCTCTATGACCGGTCCGCGCCCCCCACCTTTAAGCGGCTGGCTCCAGCAGGAAAAGCTGGAGGCCGGAAAAGAGTGAGACAGGTAGCGCGCAAAAGTAAAAGTGGAACCGAGAGTGGTACGAGAGACAGAACGAGAGACAGAACGAGAGCAAGACAGTTTGTCTCTTTCCCGACAATCCCCTCTGTGCACGAACCCTTACATATGGTAATTAAACATTAAAACACTTGCGGCTTATAGTCCAGTGCGGCTTATATATGTACGCATCATTCAATATCATTCAATTTAGCTGCTGCGGCTTATACTCCGGTGCGCCTTATAGTGCGGAAATACGGTATACACAATAGAATATAAGTTGCATGAGACATGCACAACAGCTACAAAACAACATTAATGTGTAACCTATCAGTTACTGACAGTAAACATCAGTAAACAAATGTTGATCACGTCTCCTTTGGCTAGAACTTAGAAAACACCTTAACCTCTGGTCTGATTTTGACAAATTCCTTCATTTAACAGTCAAAGTAGCAACAAGATACCCAAAAATGTAAATCTAGACAGACACTTCAAACTTTGAGAAGACAGAACCAGTTTGCTGAAGTTTACTTAAGTCATATCAAAAATAGTGTCTCATAACATAGTCTGAGAAGTTAAACTGAAATGATTACCAATTTCATACACGCACACTCCAATTTTCTCATCAACTTCTAACTCACAGAAAGCTGAATTTAAAAGAATGGAAAACAGTTTTAACCCTTTACACTCATACCTGTATACGTGTTGAAAATGGCAGTTTTGGGCATTGATAAGCGCCTAAATTGGAACGCACTGACTGTACATTAACATGCTATAAATGACGTCAGAGCTCAGGGAAATGCTATAAACTAAGAGGACTCGATGTATTTTGAAAGCTGAGACATGGAGGATTATAATAAATACTGCTTTGATGTCATACAAGCAAGACAATTCACTGTGGAACACGCACCTGAATGCAATCATGACTCCTTTCTATGCGCACCAAAATTACGATCTGTTTCTCTGAATTGCCTTGTGAAAGCCTAACACTGTAAGATCGTATTTTATGTTGGCAATAGAACAAGCTTTTAAAAAATGGCCCATTTTTGGATTGCGTAAACAACAACAGTAATTGTGTGATGGCAGGGATGCGAGGGTTGTGTTCCAAACATAACATCTACAACTGTGATTGCTCTAGTTCTTCAACAGCACAGCTAGGAGAGGTAGAAAAAAAGCACCTTATAGTTGAAGACTCTTCTTTGAGTCATAAAAAATCATTGAAATTACTTAGGAACTGTGCACACTTTGGAGAGGTGTGTGGACACATGGAGACACCAGTTAGTCCTCTCACTCAAACCCTTGTCATTTTTTTGTCTTATGTTGCACCTACCCCAACATTTTCCAGGAATATTCTTATGTTACTGAATGTATCCAGAGTATTTTCAGATTTCGTTATCAACAAATGCGGCGAAATGTACAGTAAATGTAAAATGCACATAAAATCAACAGTGTAATGTTTGGATTCAGTCTTGTGTCAGGAGAACTGTTGTGTCCCCCTAATCTCCAAACTGTTCCCTTTTAATTGCTACCATGCATATGCATTTTCTTATTTATTCTGTAAGAAACATTTACATTTAGCCCTATCCATATAGGCCAATTCCCACAAGTGTAAAGGGTTAACTAAATTGCGGGTGTCTCACCAGTAGTCGTAGGTGTCATCCCAGTTGTCAAAGTGAACCAGGAAGCGATTGTCCACGATGTCGGCCACCGAGGCCACACACACCAGGCATGGGTTCTTTCTGTCCACTGCCTCCAGTTTCATGCCCACCTGAAACTTAGAGGTGCTCATGGTCTGTTGGCACACAGAGAGACACATCACAAAGGGCTTAATTCTTTCTGACTTTAAACTTAAAAGAAGAAATCCTGCATTCACGTCAATGGAGGATTTAAGTAAATATTGACGTAGCATACACAGATTCTGCCCTTAACCCTTACGGAAAAACCACATGAATTTCACATGTGATCACATGATTTTATGTATAGCAACATGTGATAACTTGAAACTACACATGACAACATTTGAGCACTTCATGTGACAACATTTGAGCACATGTGGAAACATGATCTCATGTGAAATAAATTTGACAAGATGGGGATGGAACATTTTTACGTGATACCCAGGTGCCAAATGTCATTGAGAATATTTTACTTTTACTGCAGGTTGTCTAGTTCCCGGTTTGTTCAAGGGATGTCCCCAAGAACATTTGTAGGATATTCTTAGAATGCTGTGTCATGGTCCCCTGGAGGTTTTTGTCTAGTTGCAGTGAAAATACAGCAAATCTACAACAAGTTACTGTATTTTTACAGCTAAATTAAAGTGTTCATGTTAAAAGGACAGTAAGACAGTAAGACTCAACCTCACTTGGGATTTGAACTCACAACCTCTTGGTTGCTAGTTACCTGAAGTTCCTGCTGCGCCACCAGGTCTATGGGTATAATGGAGACTGGCTATACATACAGTGCCTTCAGAAAGTATTCACACCCCTTTACTTTTCCACATTTTGTTGTGTTACAGCCTGAATTTGAAATGTATTACATTTATTACATTTAGATTTTGTGTCAATGATCTACACACAATACCCCATAATGTCAAAGTGGAATTTTGTTTGTAGAACATTTTAGAAATTAATAAAAAATGTAAAGTTGAAATGTCTTCAGTCAATAAGTATTCAACCCCTTTGTTCTGGCAAGCCTAAATATGTTCAGGAGTAAAAATGTGCTTAACAAATCGCATAATAAGTTGCATGGACTCATTTCGTGTTCAATAATAGTGGTTAACATGATTTTTTTATAACTATCCCATCTCTGTACCCCACACATACAATTATCTGTAAGATCCCTCAATCGAGTTGTGCATTTCAAGCACAGATTCAACCACAAAGACCAGGGAGATTTTTCAATGCTTCGCAAAGAAGGGCACAGATTGGTAGATGGGCAAAAAAAACAGACGTTAGAAATATCCCTTAGAGCATGGTGAAGTTATTAATTAGGCTTTGGATTGTGTATCAATACACCCAGTCACTACAAAGATACAGGCGTCCTTCCTAACTCAGTTGCCGGAGAAGATGGAAACTGCTCTGGGATTTCACCATGAGGCCAATGACGATTTTAAATCAGTTACAGAGTTTAATGGTTGTGATATGAGTACACTGAGGATGGGATCAACAACATTGTAGTTACTCAACAATACAAACCTAAATGACAGAGTGAAAAGAAGGAAGCCTGTACAGAATAAAGATATTCCAAAACATGCATCCTGTTTGCAACACGGCACTTAAGTAATACTGCAAAAACAAATGCAAAGAAATTAACTTTTTGCCCTGAATACAAAGTGTTATGTTTAGGGCAAATCCAACACAACACATCACTGAGTACCACTCTTCATATGTTCAAGCACGTTGGTGGCTGCATCATGTTATGGGTATGCTTGTAAATCAGTAAGGACTGGGGAGTTTTTCAGGATAAGAAAGAACTGAATGGAGCTAAGCACACACCAGACACTGGGAGATGAATTCCCCTTTCAGCAGGACAATAACCTAAAACACAAGACCAAATCTACACTGCTTACCAAGAAGACAGTGAATGTTCCTGAGTGGCCGAGTTACAGTTTTGACTTAAATCTGCTTGAAAATCTATGGCAAGACCTGAAAATGGTTGTCTAGCAATGATCAACAACCAATTTGACAGAGCTTGAATAATTCTGAAAAGAATAATGGGCAAATGTACAATCCAAGTGTGCAAAGCTCTTAGAGACTTACCCCAAAAGACTCACAGCTGTAATCGACGCCAAAGGTGCTTCTACAAAGTACTGACTCTGGGGTGTGAATACTTATGTAAATTAGATATTTCCATATTTCATTTTCAATAATTTAGCAAATATTTCTAAAAACATGTTTTCACTTTGTCATTATGGGGTATTGTGTGTAGATGGGTGAGAAAAAATATTTAATCATTTTGAATTCAGGTTGTAACAACAACATGTGGAATAAGTCAAGGGGTATGAATACTTTCTGAAGGCACTGTAGTTGCAAACATACATTTTTGCACTTCCTAAATTACATACAAACAACTTGAAGGTGTTATTTCATTAAAATAATATAATATGCCATTTAGCAGACGCTTTTATCCAAAGCGACTTACAGTCATGTGTGCATACATTTTTATGTATGGGTGGTCCCGGGGATCGAACCCACTACCCTGGCGTTACAAACGCCATGCTCTACCAATTGAGCTACAGAGGACAAATGTATGCAAATGACAGTATGCTGCTGTATTCTGATTTAAATTAGTGTAAAACATCTTGTATAATTTTGTATTATGACCACACTTGGGCCTTAAAGGGATACTTTGGGATTTTGGCAATGAGTGCATTTCTATGTCTCTGTGTCCAGTATCAAGGAAGTTAGAGGTAGTTTCGAGAGCCAATGCTAGCTAGCGTTAGCATAATGACTAGAAGTCTATGATTACCTGCTAGCATGCTAGCATATACCTATAGAATTCCAGTCATTGTGTTAATGCTAGTCAGCAATTGTGCTAGCGCTAGTTAGTGTATTTTTAAGGAAGCTGAGATTTACTTGGAAATCAGTCATTGACAAGAGGTTGTGTTCAAATCCCACGTTGAATAAAAATTACTGTATAAATAAACACACACAATGTAGTCATGTATGTCAAAGTGTGTCAAATATGTAATTTGAAAACACTATGTTAAAAGTCATGTGTGTGTTTCATAATGACACATTTTTCCAATAACACGTTTTCACATGTGAAATGTCACGTAAAGTGTTCCAAAAACAAATTTTCACCAATGAAAAGTCACATGTAGAGTGAAATGTGAAATGTCACATGTGAAATGTTCCAAAAACACATTTTCACATGTAAAATGTCACATGTGAAATGTTCCAAAAACACATAAGAAATGTCACGTGAAGTGTTCCAATAACACATATTTTCACATGATTTCAGATGTGAAATCATGTGGTTTTCCACATGTGAATCCATGTGGTTTTTCCATAAGGGAAAGGTTTGAGCGCACAAACGTTGAGTTTTAAAATGAGATATTACCATATCATTTATATTTCCCTACGTCATTAAAATCAAGCAGTATCTCGCCCTCAGGGTAATACTACTTTGTACATACTTACATATGCCAATATAGTGGAAATATTGTGGCAAGATTTGAAAATCCTCTACTATTACTACAAGTCAATATATATTTCAGCTTTTGTCACTGTAAAAAACGACAGGAAGTAAAGTGGTGCGTCTCTGCCGCAGTGTGGAGGGAGCTTTACAACAGCCACTGGGACACATTGTTCTGTTCTGCTGTGTGAATGAAGGTCAGCATTTGGCCCCGGCCGTCTTTACAGGAGAAAGTAGTGCTAAGCCTCCATTGACTCCCGCACCCCAACCAAGCACTTACACCATTTTGGGATTTAAACAGATTCTTTGGTGCAGCTTGAGCGTTGCAAGCCTCTTGGTATTTCTCCCAGTTAAACTCGCTTTCATTGTAGCCTGAAAATAAATGGTGCAGAGAGAGAAAGGGTGAGAGAAAGAGGGGGAAGAAAAAAAAAGGGAGTAAGAGAACGAAAGAAAATAAAAGGGGATTAGGGTGTTGACATATATTGTTGTGCCAGGCGCCCCTTCGCTGGTAAATCGTTGCTGCCATTCCAAAAAATATCATTATTTATTTGTATTTATTTTATATTCATATGTATTTTTTATTATATACTGAACAAAAATATAAACGCAACATGCAACAATTTCAAAGATTTTACTGAGTTCATATAAGGAAATCAGTAAATTTAAATAAATTCATTAGGCCCTAATCTATGGATTTCACATGACTGGGCAGGGCCGCAACCATAGGCCCACCCACTTGGGAGCCAGGCCCACCCACTGGGGAGCCAGGCCCTGCCAATTAGAATGAGATTTTCCCCACAAAAGGGCTTTATTACAAACAGAAATACTCCTCAGTTTCATCAGCTGTCCCAGTGGCTGGTCTCAGACGATCCCGCAGGTGAAGAAGCCGGACGTGGAGGTCCTGGGCTGGCATGGTTACACGTGGTCTGCGGTTGTGAGGCCGGTTGGACGTACTGCCAAATTCTCTATAACGACGTTGGAGGTGGTTTATGGTAGAGAAATTAACATTCAATTCTCTGGCAACAGCTCTGGTGGACATTCCTGCAGTCAGCATGCGAATTGCACGCTCCCTCAAAACTTGAGACATCTGTGGCATTGTGTTGTGTGACAAAACTGCACATTTTAGAGTGGCCTTTTATTGTCCCCAGCACAAGGTGCACCTGTGTAATGATCATGCTGTTTAATCAGCTTCTTGATATGCCACACCTGTCAGGTGGATGGATTATCTTGGCAGAAATGTTCACTAACAGGGATGTAAACTAATTTGTGCCCAAAATATGAGAGAAATAAGGTTTTTGTGCATAAGGAACATTTCTGGGATCTTCTATTTCATTTACATTTACATTTTAGTCATTTAGCAGACGCTCTTATCCAGAGCGACTTACATTTAATTATTTATTTATTTTTTATACTGGCCCCCCGTGGGAAACGAACCCACAACCCTGGCGTTGAAAACACCATGCTCTACCAACTGAGCTACATCCCTGCCGGCCATTCCCTCCCCTACCCTGGACGACGCTGGGCAAATTGTGCGCCGCCCCATGGGTCTCCCGGTCGTGGCCGGCTACGACAGAGCCTGGATTCGAACCAGGATCTCTAGTGGCACAGCTAGCACTGCGATGCAGCGCCTTAGACCACTGCGCCACTCGGGAGAAACATGGGACCAACACTTCACATGTTGTGTTTATATTTTTGTCTAGTATATATTTCTGCCGAGACATGCTTTTAAAGGGATAGTGCGAGATTTTGGCAATTAAGAGATTTTGGCCCTTTTTCTTCTCACTCAGTCAGATGAACTCATGGATACCATTTTTATGTCTCTGCGTGCAGTTTGAAGGAAGTTGCTACCTAGTGTTAGCCCATTTACTTTAAGTCTATGGGAACAGCTAGCATGCTAACTGTTCCCATAGACTTTCACTCATTGCGCTTACACTAGTTAGCAATGGCTCGCGAAATTTCCTTCAAACTGCATGCAGAGACATACAAGTTCATCTGAATCTGGGTAAGTAGTATAAGGGCTTAGTTGCCAAAATCTCGCACTATCCCTTTAAGATCAGTGAGACAAGTAACAACATATATTTGTTGCAAACAGCGAGCAGTGGTGCAAATAAAAGCCACGAGCGCACGCCCACCGTTTGCTCCTCATCATCTCCCTGCAGTGCAGTGGCGCGCATCAGTTATATTTCAGATTGTTTCAACAAACCGTAAAACTTCAATTAATAGCCCAGGCGTTTATTTGCTTAAATTACTGGACACAACAGACGCTTATTGGAGACAGGCTTCTATTTCCTTAATGCACACAGCTTTTGCTCATTTGCATAGTTAATTGTTTAATTCCAGCATTCACTTCCAGCATTTTCATATATTTCTTAATTTCCTGCACTAATGTGTTATCATTTACACACTGTGTCACGTTTCTGTTGTCTTAGTATGCCTAAAAAATTATAATAAATAAAGAAGAATTCCTTGACAGAATAATTATTCTCCTCTTTGACTGTGCATATTCTGCAGTTCTTACTTTCGCCACTAGAGGGTGACCTGATGATTTTTTGGGGGGTCTTTACTCCCGAAGATGTTGACTGTTTTTGTGCTTGCCAGATAGCTAGTGGCTGTTAGCAGCCAATGGCTAACAGTTTCTTACTGGCGATAAAATCAGATGATTGCCATCATTTTGTTTGAGTCATTACTGAATTATGTAATGTAACAAATTAAACATTAAACCTTGTAAACAATTCATGGTAACCTCCTAAACAATAAACCGGGCGTTTACTTGAAACAGGTGTTTATTTGCTGAATGTTTGCCGTTGCCTGACTATTAAAAGGGACAGGCGGCTATTTGAAACTCAGCGTTTAAGTTTTACTGTAATTCAATTTGCATGCATTTTGGAGTAAGTAGAATGTCCTTTTAAAAAGTCACCAGAAGTGACCTTCTCAGTCATTCTAATAAAAAAATCTCACAGGGGGGCATGCCCCAGGACCCCCCAAGCACTGACTCCCCCCGGTACCACAGCTGCTGAAAAAAATCCTAGGGGAAACACTGTGCCAGGTACATTAAATGATTTGCTGTGCTTTGTAGTGCAACAGACTACCGTGTACTAGCGATACATGCTGATAGTGTGGAAATAAGATGAGGCCCTTGAAATAAAATTTCTCCATGCATAGTTTATAGCCCATTCTCCTGTTCTGAAGTATATTTAATTACGATTAAACAAGCACAATCTCTTACAGAGAGCAGAACTGAGCTCAGATAAACCAAGCTGTACTGAGCTGGCCTGGGTCAACCATAGTTGCTTGATTTGAACCATGTTGACAAGGACCATGTGAAAATAATATATCAGAGCCAGCACAGTTTGGTTTGGGTCAGCACGATAGTCACGAGTCACAGTGAAATGGGTAAAGACAAAAGGGTAACAGTGTGCTGATCTGCTGTAGCTCACCTTTTGGTGGGTGGAGCTGGTGTCCTGTCGACTCGCACCATCCGGCTGGCCTGATATCCGGAGAGTCTGCGTTTACCCAGAAGTCATAGCATTCGGAGTAGCTGTCGATGTGGAGCCGTAATCGGTAGCCGATCACCTTTGAAAAACAAAATACAGTATTATGTATGGATGTACATGCGGTCCCTATCCCAAACATCAATCCACGGCATGATGTCATTCTGCTTTGTATTCCCATGACTAATACAGCAGGCTACTTGCAGGGCCTTGCCCTTAACAGCAATACTTTTTTCCACTGCAAATCTATGAGACTTTGACGCAATATGATGTTTGCTAATGGAAATACAACAACCGACAGCTAATGTCAATCTTGTACATTTGTAAAGTGGTCGATGTCATACGCACATCCCAGGTGCTATGGTCTTGTACAATTAAACACAAAAGGGATGACATCAAAAACAGATCGACAACACAAAACTACCAAGGGCCTTGTTAGTAACAGTTAAGGGCAATCATTTCCTCCACCCAATACAGTGCTGCCTGGACTGCAATCACAGATCCAATTACAGTGTGTGACCGGCCCAGTGTGCCCTTGGTTGAGGCTGGTCTGGAGCTGGGCCAGCTCCCTCACTGTTGCAGCTCACCTCTGCCACGGACAGGACGCAGAACATGGAGGGGTGCAGAGGGTCGATCCCCTCCAGCCTCATCCCTGCCTTGAAGCCACTTCTGCTGGGGGGGAACGACTGGCCCTGGGATGGAGGGAGGGAGAGAGGGATGAAGACAAAGTGAGAGAGTGTGGGAGAGGAGGAAAGAGAGAGTAACAGAGAGAGAGTGTGATGGAGACAGCAAAGGACATATAGAGAGTGAAGGAGAGAGCAGAGGGAGCGAAAAAGGAGAGCATGAAGAATAAACCCAAATATTGGTGAATAAAATATCCTCTCTAGAAAACCCATACATATAAGTCATGGCGGTTGGACCACCACGCTCAAGTGTCTCAACAGCACGGTTGCCATAGAAACGTGTGTTTGTGCCTCCGACGGAACAGATGTCCCGTCAAATCCCTTCATAGAACATTTCATCCGCCGCACCGCGTGTTTGTAGCAGAGGAATTAGTTCAGCATGATTCATTGTCAGGGAGAGAGAGGGGGGGACTGGTAAACAGTGGAGCATTGCACCAGGCAGCAACTCTCCTGTAAGGAACACACACCAAACACACTGCTGGTACAAAGGCTGGATAAGTCCTATAATGGCATAGGAAACACTGCCCTATAAGTCTTGCATAGCCAGATCACATACCTCTCTCTCTCTAGGAGAAGCTAGAAGCCTGGCAGGTGAGGCTACTCACCTTTAGACTATACGGGTTCTGGGGGCAGTGGCACACCTTGATATTGTAACTATTTTAGTGCCAATTCTCAAATCCTTGCTTAATCTGCACTGCGGTCTAATAGGTGTGCTGCGACAGAGAAGTCCCACTGTCCTCAAAGGCAGTCATTAGAAACAATAGACACCCTGGTGTCCACCACACACACACTCACGATCCCACACGCACACACTTGGGTTTTCTTCTATTTTACAGGCCCCCGTCGGCACATTAGAAATAAAATAAACAGATACATTCACATTAATCACATGGAGAAGATAGCGTTGCAGTATAAAGTAAACCATGTAGTTTAAGGTCCTCAACATCCTTCCTTTTAAATCAACAGACTATGTTTTTAACATCATGCAGCTAGCTTATGGCCTTAAAATACAAACCATAGCTTTATTGCCTGTATAGTTTAGTAAATTACATCTCGGACTGAAAACAGACTGAAACGGAGGGACTACCTGAACTTTTGTCATTTTTGCTAAATGTTTTGCTACAATGTGCCCTAATGAATAGGACTCTGGAGTCAGGCTATAGTAGTAGATAGACCTACTGGTTGATGAAAGGTGATGCTTACCTCAGTGAAGAGTCTAAGGGGAGCTGCTATGACCTTCTCCTCTCCCAGGTACTGATCCCACGACCATGCCTTCTTCTTACCCCTCACTGCTGCACACCACATTGATCTGAATTACACCTTTCCTTATAACACCATAGGCCAGATTCCCAGACCCAGATTAAGCCTATTCCTAGTCTAAAAAGCATACTCAATGGAGAACTCCCATGTGTGTAAATTCATGTAAGCAGTCTAAATAGCATTTGACAGCGATTCATAATTTTATTTCAATTTGAAACATGCTCTGTGCATTCATATCAATAAGCACTAATAATGTAGCATTCAGTTATGATCTAATTGTTGTGTTAGTAGCGTTGAAATTTCAAGACTTTACCTTGTGTGCTGGTCACTTTGTTCTTCATTTTTACTGCGTACTCGTTTGGTCTCTCCTGAAATGACACAGTTGTTAGTTTGCTGACAGAAACTTCAGCAACACTTAACATTACAGCCAACAGGTATAATGTTGTCAGGATATGATAATGAGCTCAGGTGCGGTCAGGTCCAGGCCTACTCACTCTTAGACAATATTCCTCCGCCACGCCCTTGCTGGAACTCCTTTTCTTCCTATCCTCTGCATGCATCATTTGACAGAGGATCGATTCTACAACAACATGATATACAAACACAGGCCATTTGAATGCAAAAACAAATCAATTACTATTTAAGTTCCATGGTGTGCGTCGCTTTAAGTTGAGACATCTCAATTTACTCCTACATGTAAGAACATCTTTTGCATTCTATTTTCCCTCTGAACAGACTCAATGAAAGCCACCCACATTCCTTTAATAAAAACATAAAAGCCCTTTGAGGTTTACCCATATCAAGCAAAGCAAATGACATTTTACATCTTACATGTACTTTAATTGTTCACTGGGCACATAAGCAGCTTGGCTGTCTTATTGCCTGTTGTAGGAAACAAAGTGGAATGCTTTCTCTCGAGCCCTAGTACAGTAACAACCCCATGATTACTGTATAAAGAGAGGACATGAATGCAACTCTTTCTGCGGTATATGATGTCAATTGGATTGAGTTCCTGGTAAGAGATAAAGACTGCTTCCCATGAAAGTCAAATTAAGTGAGAGTTGGATCTGTGGCGGAGGGGCGGCCGCAGCTGGAGGGACCCGGATTTCCCAGAAGGCAGTGGGAAGCAGTGACTGTTCACCTTCCAATGCAGATTCATCGATTGTACTGTAGTTGCCCGGAAACAAAATGGATTCACTACACTCTGACTCCTGTATATTACTTACTGTATATCAAATAGGGTTTTGAATGGATTTACACTGAGTGTACAAAACATTAAGGACACCTGCTCTTTCCATGACAGACTGACCAGGTGAATCCAGGTGAGCTATGATCCCTTATTGATGTCACTTGTTAATATATGAAAATGTATGCACTCACTAACTGTAAGTCACTCTGGATAAGAGCATCTGCTAAATGACTAAAATGTAAAACATTTTAAATCCACTTCAAATCAGTGTAGATGAAGAGGAGGACAGGTTAAAGAAGGATTTTCAAGCCTTGAGACAATTGAGACATGGATTGTGTATGTGTGCCATTCAGAGGGTGACTGGGCAAGACAAAATATTTAAGTGCCTTTGAACAGGGTATGGTAGTATGTGCCAGGCGCACCGGTTTGACTGTGTAAAGAACTGCAACGCTGCTGGGTTTTTCACACTCAACAGTTTCCCATGTGTATCAAGAATGGTCCACTACCCAAAGGCCATCCAGCCAACTTCACACAACTGTGGAAAGCATCGGAGTCAACATGGGTCAGCATCCCTGTGGAACGCTTTCGACACCTTGTAGAGTTCATGCCCCGACGAATTGAGGCTGTTCTGAGGGCAAAAGGGGGTGCAACTCAATATTAGGAAGGTGTTCTTAATGTTTAGTGCACTCAGTGTTTACGGCTTGCAGTTGCTCTGACAAAAAAATGGTTGCTCTCTGGCCTTGTTGCACTGTGTCATGGGGCTCTATTTTGGTCTGGCGCTAAGGAGGCGCAAGCAACAGACGCATGTTAGTTTTCAATTTCATGTGTAAAAACTGGCGCACTGGCATTTTCCAGCCCTAACACCAGGCTCTGCAATTTACCTGTCTAACATCAGCTCACTTGCGCTGAGGTGGGAGGGGTGGCAATATTTGAGGTGTGTCTTTAAAAACAAGCACAAAAGTGACAATTTCATGCAGCGCTAATGGGATGTTCTAAGACCAACATAAAGCAGGTCTTAAAAGGTAACGCAGTTTATAATTAAATGGATTTTGAGAGCGGAAGCGCAGCCTATCTAGCCATGACGCACAGTGCCCATGGGAAGAGAGATGTGCCTTTTGAGCCGATGAATCTCGTTTTTAGAAACATAAAAAAAAAATTGGGGGGGGGGGGGGGTGTTCCTTGAAGCTGAAAATGTCCCAGTTCTGGCCTGCATACTCACCAGACATGTCACCTATTGAGCATGTTTGGGATGCTCTAGATCGACGTGTATGACAGTGTGTTCCAGTTCCCGCCAATATCCAGCAACTTGAAGAGGAGTGGGACAACATTTCACAGGCCACAATCAACAGCCTGATCAACTCTATGCGAAGGAGATGTGTCGCGCTGCATGAGGCAAATGGTGGTCACACCAGATACAGACTGGTTTCTGATCTACGCCCCTACCTTTTTTTAAAGGTTTTTGTGACCAACAGATGCATATCTGTATTCCCAGTCGTGAAATCCATAGATTAGGGCCTAATTTATTTATTTAAATGGACTGATTTCCTTATATGAACTGTAAGTCAGTAAAATCTTTGAAATTGTTGCATGTTGCGTTTATATTTTTGTTCAGTGTAGATTACAGGAAGATAAGCCTACTTTTGCATGTTTCATTGACTTTTTTGTAAATAGGGATCTTTTAGCCTATAGTTTGATAAAGGGGTTGATTGGACATTTTATCACGCAATCCAGTCTCTCTACAAAGCACCAACTGCCTGTGTGCATGTTAATGAATTTCATACAGATTGGTTTCCCACACCCTCGGGTGTAAAACAAGGAGATGCCTTATCACCGACTCGGTTTGCTATGTTTATTAATGATTTGGCAAAATAAACTGAACCGTTAAATATTGGAGTAAGATATGATGAAATGCTAAGTATCCTCTTATATGCTGATGATATTATTTGGTTGGCAGAAACTGAACAAGACCTGCAGAATGTTTTATTTTGTACAGTCAATTGGTGAAAAAGATGGAGACTCATGATCAACCAGAAAAAAAACACAGATAATGCATTTTAGAAACCCAGGTAGCAAGATAAGTGTTTTTCAGTTTTGCTTTGGTGAAGGAATTCTTGAGTTTTCTAGCAATTTTAAATATGTGGGTCTTTATTTTGATGAACTCTATGACCTTTTCATATCTACCCTGGCCAACTCAGCAAGTAAAGCTCTTGGGAGAGTTATAGGAAAAACAAAAACACTCAAAGATATTGGTTAAGCCACGTATTCCAAACTGTCTCAGAAACGCGTGTGTCCTTTTCTGGACTATTCAGCAGGAGTGTGGGGTGCTAAGAGGTAGACGACATTAACTAAAGTATGTGGACACCTGCTCGTCTAACATCTCATTCCAAAATCATGGGCATTAATATGGAGTTGGTCCCCCCTTTGCTGCTATAACAGCTTCCACTCTTCTGAGCAGCGGGGGCTTGCTTCCATTCAGCCACAAGAGTGAGGTCGGGCACTGATGTTGGGCGATTAGGCCTGGCACGCAGTCGTTCCAATTTATCCCAAAGGTGTTCGATGGGGTTGAGGTCTGGGCTCTGTGCAGGCCAGTCAAGTTCTTCCACACCGTTCTCGACAAACCATTTCAGTATGGGCCTCGCTTTGTGCACAGGGGGCATTGTCATGTTGAAAGAGAAAAGGGCCTTCCCCAAACTGTTGCCACAAAGTTGGAAGCACAGAATCGTCTAGAATGTCATTGTATTCTGTAGCGTTAGGATTTCCCTTAACTGGAACTAAGGGGCATAGCCCGAACAATGAAAATCAGCCCCAGATCATTATTCCTCATCCACCAAACTTTACAGTTGGTACTATGCATTCGAGCAGGTAGCGTTCTCCTGGCATCCGCCAAGCCAAACGTTTTTTAGGTTAAAAATAAAATGTAATAGATCTAAGCACAGGCAAAATCCTAGAGGAAAACCTTGTTCAGTCTGCTTTCCCAAAGACACTGGGAGACAAATTCACCTTAGAGCAGGACAATACCCTAAAACGCAAGGCCAAATATACACTGGAGTTGCTTACCAAGATGACATTTAAAATGGTCCTGAGTGGCATAGTTACAGTTTTTACTTAAATCGGCTTGAAAATATATGGCAAAACTTGAAATGGCTGTCTTTCAGTGATCAACAACCAACTTGACAGAGCATGAATAATTTTTTTAAGAATAATGTGCAAATATTGTACAATCCAGGTGTGCAAAGCTCTTAGAGACTAAAAGCCAATTTATGCTTGGGCCGAAAATGTGGGGTGTAACGCAATTGCGGAGCCTCCAGAGGCATGCAGAGGCCAAATTGAGCTCCGTACCGCATCGCCGTGCGCTGCCCAAATTTTGTAACAATGCGGAGGGCTCCGTATAGCTCCGCATTTACATGATTGGTTGACGGTAGGTGGGGGCGGGAGGTCCAGTATAAACACAAACTCACTTCCTTGACAACTTCCTTCACAACAGCTCTGCACAGCAAAGCGCAAGAAGTATAAATGCCCTGATTTCTGCAGAGGCCGTATCGCAGTAAATGCTGTATGGCCACTGCAGACGTTGGAATGACCATGCAGAGCCTTTTACCCAGAAAGACTTGCAGCTGTAATCACAGCCTAAGGTGATTGTAACATGTATTGACTCAAGGGTGTGAATACTTACAGTACCAGTCAAAAGTTTGGACACACCTACTCATTCAAGGGTTTTGCTTTATTTTTACTATTTTCTACAATGTAGAATACCAGTGAAGACATCAAAACTATGAAATAACACATATGGAATCATGTAGTAACCAAAAATGTGTTTAACAAATCAAAAGATATGTAATCTTTTAGATTCTTCAAAGTAGCCACCCTTTGCCTTGATGACAGCTTTGCACACTCTTGGCATTCTCTCAACCAGCTTCACGAGGAATGCTTTTCCAACAGTCTTGAAGGAGTTCCCACATATGCTGAGCACTTGTTGGCTGCTTCTCTTTCACTCTGCGGTCCGACTCATCCCAAACCATCACAATTGGGTTGAGGTCGGGTGATTGTGGAGGCCAGGTCATCTGATGCAGCACTCCATCACTCTCCTTCTTGGTAAAATAGCCCTTACACAGCCTGGAGGTGTGTTTTGGGTCATTGTCCTGTTGAAAAACAAATCATAGTCCCACTAAGCGCAAACCACATGGGATGGCGTATCGCTGCAGAATCCTGTGGTAGCCATGCTGGTTAAGTGTGCCTTGAATTCTAAATAAATCACAGACAGTGTCACCAGCAAAGCACGCCCACACCATCACACCTCCTCCATGTTTCTCAGTGGGAACCACACATGCGGAGATCATACGTTCACCTACTCTGCATCTCACAAAGACACGGAGGTTGGAACCAAAAATCTCACATTTGGTCTCATCAGACTAAAGTACAGATTTCCACCGGTCTAATGTCAATTGCTCGTGTTTCTTGGCCCAAGCAAGTCTCTTCTTATTATTGGTGTCCTTTAGTAGTGGTTTCTTTGCAGCAATTGGACCATGAAGGCCTGATTCACGCAGTCTCCTCTGAACAGTTGATGTTGAGATGTGTCTGTTACTTGAACTCTGTGAAGCATTTACTTGGGCTGCAATCTGAGGTGCAGTTAACTCTAATGAACTTATCCTCTGCAGCAGAGGTAACTCTGGGTCTTCCTTTCCTGTGGTGGTCCTCATGAGAGCCAGTTTCATCACAGCGCTTGATGGTTTTTGCGAATGACCTTCATGTGTTAAAGTAATGACGGACTCGTTTCTCTTTGCTTATTTGAGCTGTTCTTGCCATAGTATGGACTTGGTTTTTACCAAATAGGGCTATCTTCTGTATACCACCCCTACATTTTACATTGTAGTCATTTATCAGACGCTCTTATCCAGAGTGACTTACAGTTAGTGAGTGCATACATGTTGTTGTTTTTTCATACTGGCCCCCCGTGGGAATCGAACCCACAACCCTGGCATTGCAAGCGCCATGCTCTACCAACTGAGCTACACGGGGCCCTACCTTGTCACAACACAACTGATTGGCTCAAACGCATTAAGAAGGAAAGAAATTCCACAAATTAACTTTTAACAAGGCACACGTTTTAATTTAAATGCATTCCAGTTGACTACCTCATGAAGCTGGTTGAGAGAATGCCAAGAGTGTGCAAAGCTGTCATCAAGGCAAAGGGTGGCTACTTTGAAGAATCTAAAATCTAAAATATATTTGGATTTGTTTAACACTTTTTTGGTTACTACATGATGCCATATGTGCTATTTCATAGTTTTGATGTCTTCACTATTATTCTACAATGTAGAAAATAAAGAAAAACCCTTTGACTGGTACTGTATGTAAATGAGATATTTCTGCATTTCATTTTCAATACATTTGCAAATATTTCTAAAAAAATGTCAAGGGGTCTGAATACTTTCCAAATGCACTGTATATCTGGGACTATATGTAAGGTGTGTGAGAAAAATAATCAATTTAATACATTTTGAATTCAGGCTGTAACACAATAACATGTGGAATGAGTCAAGCAGTATGAATACTTTCTGAAGGCACTGTAACCACAACATAACCTTATATGTCCATCATTCTGATCATTGACCACTGGTACCCTAATGTTAAGTGAACTCTCTAGTGGTTCAGTGAACCTCCAAAGTGACTCACTGTTTGGTATGTGCACCCGCCCAGTCTTCCGGCCAATCAGGGACTCCGTCTCTGAGCTTCCATTCCAATCACTTTCTATGTCTTCAGCAGATCTATTCGAAGCCAGGGACAGAAAACAACAAAAACACATTGGTTCGGAATGACAGGCAAACATGCAATAGTCAATTAATGCAATGCATTTAACTTTGCTTACACAACAATTCATGTATTCATGTGTCATATTCTGAAAACTAGAAACAACTACTTGTGAGGCAAAGTCCTCTGCTATCTAGCGTTAACAGTGTCCCCAAAACCACCTAAAGATTTAATTTAACAACGTTTATTTATTTTTTATCAATAAGGTTTGTTTATAAACTACAGCTTAAACAATACTGCAACACTGCTCCCATGTTCTCCCTCTAAAAGCCACTGCATTCCCAGGCAGTCAATATAACCTTCCATATTAGATATTAATTGGTGGAGTGACGGGAAGGTCTCCAGGAGGTGTGACAGAGAGAGGGGAAGGGAGCTAGTGCTTGACGAGGTCTGAAGGTCAGTGGAGATGGAGCTGATCTGACTGCAGCCTCTCTGATTAACTGGGAGAGGGTGGCTGCCAAGGCTCTGGGCATGGGGTGGCGCTGCGTGGCGTAACCCTCCCTTGCGGGACTTCATTGATCTAATTGTTTCATTTGACAGTGAAAGAGCCACCAGGAGGTGTTTGATGTGTGTGTGCCGTACAGAAGAGAGTGGAGAAGCCCAGGTTCGTGGGAGTAGAGGCGAATAACTGAATCCTAACCTGCATGCGCGCATGTAAAGTACAGTAGGGCTAACTCTTTATGTAAATATTGCATTGCACTTCGAGTTTACATTTGAGTCATTAAGCAGAGGTTTCAGCCCACAGCATGTCCTTTGACCTTCAGTAAAAAACTACATTCAAGTGGTTGGCAACTGTGCAACCGTGTAAACAACATAGCCTTATTAAGCCCACCACAACACTAAAAGCTAAGCACAATTTCCATCTCCACTGCTGTTATCCAAAGAGACAATTACACACCTGCCCCAGGAGACCAGCTACAGCAACATGCCTTTGTAATGCAGCATGAACTGTGTACCTGACAGGAATTAATAAAGTTATCAACAGGCTCCAATTCCATAGAGATAATAGGATGGATGTTGCCACATTGACCTGACGCTAGGGGGGGAGTTTATTAATGGGCGCTACCTAAAATAGATTCCATTTACCTTGATGGCTTTGATGGAGTGATTCACTACTCCTGGGTATTGTTCATTGGTCACAAATGAGCTCTGTTACACAAACATGCATAAATCTAATAAAGATAATGGCAGCCCAGTGGCCAATACAAGCATACATCATTCTCCAGACAGAGAGAGAGGTATGAGAGAAAGATAGAGAGATGTCGATGGAGCGAAAGAGAAAAAGAGGGAGAGAAAAAAAGAGTGAGCAGGAGAAAAAAAGAGAGGAAAAAAGAGAGAGAGAGAGAGAGAGAGAGAGACAGAGAGAGACCTCAGCAGCATATGTATAGGTGTGTTTATATGCCCACTGCATGCATTTACAGTAAAGGGACCCATTACATGTTACATTGAAAAATATAACTGAAAGTGGTGGCCATTTTCATGCCTCCACAATGAATCAGTCCAAGACAGCTCCGTCATGAGCCCGGCTCCTTTATGTTGCTTTTGAATAACAAGAAACTGAAATATCTGACACACAGAGGCTGGCCTATTTTTGTTCACAATAACAGAGCTCGCTAAGAGTATCCAATAAACACTGCACAAAAACACCATTCACATTATAATGGAGACTCGACAAAAGTGTTCAGTAGATGGAAAATGGAAAAGCTAAAGCCACCAGCAGGGACATGGGGGAAATATTTTCATGGTTATCTGATGCTTTCAGTGCATTCTTGGCAAAAGGAGGGAAGTGAATCGGTCCTTTCTCAAAGTTTCGCAGCCTCTTCACAACATTATAAACATTTTATGTTTTGCCTGTTAAGGCTTGGTGTTTGTAGTCAATACAAGCCTTTCACCCTAGAGTTAAACTCTCCCTTTGTCTGTTGAGCAGTCTCTCTCGATGTGCTCTGACAATGAGGAGCAAAACAAATCACTGTTCAACCGCCTGTGGGACAAAAGAAAGACAAATTGTAATCTGTCCTAATCTGATTGATGGCAGAGGCCCCTCCGTAGGCTGCCATACAGATGAAATATCTCTGAGACAGCTATAATTGGTCTCCCTAAATTATTTGGGTTGCGACTCCTGCTGCAAGTGGATCCCCAATTATCTCCTGTGTGATCTGAGAATACACCCTGCGTCCGACAGTTGGGGTTTCACAGAATGCTTATAGAACAGTTATGGAATGCTTATTCTCGATTCTGTTATATACATGGCTGAGAAGAGTCATCACCGGCACATTTGAAGCAATGCTGTCAAGTATAGCCTGGTAAATACATACTGTCTGGAAAAGAGAAAATAAAAAATGAATTAATATAACTAACGATGCCTCATCATACTAGACACTGTGTGGTGGCGTCAAACCCTTTTTCATACATTTACTGCTGGGGAATTTCCTATAAATCACACATCTATTAACTTTTCAAAATGTAATTACTACACAACAAATTTGAGATCAGAATTTTAACACCTATAGTGATAAATGTAACACTTTCTTTGAAATTATATGTGACCCCCCCAAAATAGCGTCAAACTAACACCCCTAGAGTGTTGGTCCTTTACACCGTGGGGTGTTGCAAATTCCGACATAAATTAGGATTGTATTGAACAGGCAAAACATTAACTGTGTACGTGACCAATAAACTTTGATTTTATTTGATTTAGTGTTACAGTATTTTTGGGGGGTGTTGTTGTAACAGTGTAGGTTGTAAAGCCTTATTTGAATATTTCCCAGCATGCCTTCCAAGTCAATGTGAGCGATACCAACCCATGACTGTGTTTGTTAGTGACAGAGACATGGTTGTTGCATTCAATAACTTCTAGTCCTGAAGCCTTCACCAAGTGACTGCCTAAGTGAATATGTTTGAATATAAAGTGAACCCTTTATGACCATATATTGTACATTTGATAAGTCCTTTAGTTATGACCTAGTTTTCCTCAACATTGTGGTCTGAAAATCTTGGCTCATGGGCCACATCAGACCTGCAAGTCACAAAAAGCTGGTTTGTGAAGTGATTAGTAATTCCTATCAGAATCCAGCAAACAATTTGAATATTTTATCACCCACATCCTACATTCAGAATGACTGCTATGGTGAAGGACTTGACAAACAAGACTACCTAAAACATCTAAACTGGAGAAACCATCTCAGTAACGGGTGCAATATGTCCAACCCCTTACAGATTGGATTAGTTTGGAAATAGTTTAAGATCAATTAATCAAACAATGTGCATGCAGAAACATAGATATTAAAACAAACTATTCTAAAAATCTACCTGCAACAAAGCATTCTGGGAAAAATGATAGAGGCCCCTCCTAGTTCTTTTTCACTCAGAGAGTTAACGGAAATGAACTGAACACAGTGGAGTAACAACACCACGCAGTGTTGATTCCACTGTGATTCAAATAACACTTCATTTATTCACCACGTGGTGTCAATTTCAATCCCACTAGAATCAACACTTAGATATAACACTCACAACACTTTTTACCATAACACCGAGATTTTAACACTTGCAAATTTGCTGTGTATCTACTTCTTCTAAAGTCTGACTTTTCCTATGCAAGGAAAAAATGTCTAAGCAGTGGAATAAGGCCAAAAGATACATTTATATTTACGTCATTTAGCAGACGCTCTTATCCAGAGCGACTTACAAATACATTTAATAACTAGCTTTATAGGCTTCAAACACATTTCTCCTATGGCTCCAATCTCTCCATCCTTAATTTCTATTTGAGGATTATCAGTAAATCCAGTTGATTTTGTCGACGACAGTGTACAAACACTGTAATGCATGAGGGCACTTTGGCTAACGGTTTTGGAGCTTTAGTTTGCGGTATGCTCAGGGAATAGGGACCACCCACTCCCCCCGAGTCTACACAGAATGAGGCTGCACAAATTCGCACATTTTTCCTGGACTTAGCAAATACCCGCATCTCATTTGCTTCAACACAACAAAAGGAGAGAGCCTGGAGGCCATAGACGCCAAACCGAGTCAGCGGAGTGTTATTGTGCCCTGGGTTTTCACTTTTCATAGAAACTGGGATCAAATTTGATTTGATTTGATTGGGAACTGCCTATCAAAAAAGCCTGGCGAGTGATGAATAGCACACCGACAAGTTGTGACAAAACGTGCCAAACACAATAATTGGATTTCCAACACAAATGACTACAGGTTACGTCCTGTTTTATTCTGTTGCAAAGGAAAAAAGGTGATTTGTTCTCAATCTAAACAATGCTTCCAGACTGCATGCTGGTGGCACTCTCAATAATACCCCTCAAGTGTAGTAAAATTATTCAAAGTCAACGTAGGCTTGATCAATAGTCGGTCTCTGAGGCTGGTGAGAAAAATGTAACTGCCACACATTTACATTCTATTGAAACGGGAGACCTGTTGTTTCAGGACAATCTGCTTTGTCAATGCCATAAAGATATGAGCTTATAGCACACTAATAAGCACAGTATGAAATTGAGCAGTTAGGCTTAAATGTCCTTGGCATACAATGGCAACAAATGTCACCATGTTATCATTCATATAGACTACGTCAGAGTGCATATATGATGAGAATAAATATTATAGATGCAGAACTAGTCCCCTGTAGCTCAGTTGGTAGAGCATGGCGCTTGCAACACCAGGGTTGTGGGTTCGTTTCCCACGGGGGGCCAGTATGAAAATGTATGCACTCACTAACTGTAAGTCGCTCTGGATAAGAGCGTCTGCTAAATGACTAAAATGTAAAAATGTAAACTACACACACATTTGTCTCGCTCAGTGCAATATACGTAAAAAATAATTATGAATTATTCTGAAACCCTTTTGTTCTGTACATGAAGGCTACATCATTTAACTTACTTTAATGTCAGACCAGCCTCGGCACTGACTAAGCTACCAGTAATAACTCAATTCAATCTCAAATGAAAATGAATAGGTCCAGTATCTGATAATGCATAGTATCCATGAATGAAGAATACATAAAAAGGCAAGAGATGAGTGGGAAGGCAGAGTAGAAACTTAATGTCTAAAGCATGTCTGCTGCGAGATGAAGTTGAAAAATTGATCTTGATCAATTGAAATGACTTAACAACATCTATTATTGTTTTGTATATGGGTATATAACCAGAAAGCCCATTTACAACTGCTTTGGAAAGAGTGCATTCTCATTCAGTAATCCTGTCAAAGAAAGATAAGACATTAGAGCGTAATCCAATACCAGAGAGACTTTTTCTATTTTAAGGCAATGCCTTTTCTATTTCAGTTGTAAATAACATTTCCAGATACTTACAGCATATATCTCTCAACCTGTTGCATTAGACTAAATAATTACAGCTTTAATGCAAGGATTTGACTGAAATTATACACTTCAGTCACATTACTAGTAATGACTGGTTTCTATAATTGAGGCTATACGCAGAATTGAAATCGACAGTGATTTTTCCTATTGAGGTTGCCAGCATGTTGCTGAAAAATGGCTGTGTGCCCCA